GCTACTGTTATGAATCATAATGCAAATGTTTGAAGTGGAGGATATCTAACATGAGACTCCTTTGAAAGGGCCATTTGACTCCCTCACAATGAATCACGACCCACAAATTGAGAAACTGTCATCTAAAGGAAGATGAGCCGCCAATATAAAAGGAACCCAGGTTACTTATTGACAAGATGAAGCAGAGCTTACTCTCAAATATCAGTCTTAATTACTTGTTCATTTTATTAATGCTTTACTTGCATGTATATCTGTGTGAGAGTGTCAGGTCCCCTGGAACTAGGGTTACAGACAGTTGTGAGCTGTCATACAGGTGCTGGTAATTGAACCAGGGTCCTCTGGAAGAGCAGCCAGTGGCCTTAACTGCTGAGCCATATCTCCAGTCCTAGAAAATTGATTTTTTTTTGTTAGCTACCAGACCATTGACCTTTAGGGATTGTGACAACACAGTCTTATTATTAAATGCATATATCATTATCATAATAAATGTGAAGATTACTGTGTACTTTTATCTCAAATTTTCTAGTGAGGAACTTATTAAGGTCAGAGAATAAGAACAAAGCAGCCCAATTATCATTAGCTGATGTGATTTTCTTGCTAGGATTGGTTGATGACCAAGGGTTACGATTAATTCCTTGTACCCACTTCTGCCCTCAATCTCCTGATATAAACAAACTACTGATGAGTGGGTATGCATCCTAAAGATTTAAAATAGAGCTGACTGTTTTTCATGTATAAAAGTTTAGGTTTCTTTTAAGTTTTCTTATAAGATTACCTTTCAAGATAAGTAATAAAGAGATTGGTCCTCTCTTTTTAACTGCAAAATGCAGCCTGCAAGTAAAAGAATAGCTTGCTTGCCTACACTGTCAATCTATAACAAATTGCTTGAGGATGAATGTATATGAGTTCTTAGGATAATTTGTTTTTCACATGTAATACATAAAATGTTTAATCATATAAGGAATATGAAGAACATCCTGTTTTTGACTTGTATTCATTGTAATCATTCACTTGACAAATAGAATGTAAGCACATTGTAATTTTTATATTGCTTGAAAGATTTTGCTGGGGTATGTAAGCTGTAAGGGAAAGAATAAAGATAGAGTTAAAAGGAGCTAGAAGGGAAATATGAACCGAATTGTATTGTAAAATAAAATAAAAAAAATAGAGACAAAAAAGACTCTGTTTTGGGGTAATTTGGGGGAAGGGACAGCATGATATAAGTACATTTTCTTAATTTAAAATAAAAATGTTAAAAAGTGAAAAAAAAAAGAATGAAATCATCAGGAAAACAAAGAATAGAAAATTGAAAGAAGAGAAAAGAAAAGGTCTGAAGGAAACCGTCAAGAGAGAGTGTGAGGCCAGGTGGCGGTGCACGCCTTTAATCCCAGCACTCGGGAAGCAGAGGCAGGTGGATCTCTATGAGTTAAAGGCTAGTTTGGTCTACAGAGCAAGTTCCAGGACAAGCTCCAAAGTTACAGAGAGAAACCCTGTCTTGAAAGAGAGAAAGAGAGAAGAGAGAGAGAGAGAGAGAGAGAGAGAGAGAGAGAGAGAGAGAGAGAGAGAAAGAGAGAGAGGGGGGGGTGTCTTTTCCGTACCCTCCTCAAATAAAAAGATCATAGTATGCTGACTCCACGGAGCCCACTTTGAGCTCTGTGCTGCTGGAGGTTACCCCACACACATACACCAGGCAGCAATGGGTGGCCATTTATTTTATATTCTACCAAAGAATTTGGCTGCATTTGACCAAAGTCCTGAGAAACTGAATATAATGAATATAGGATTAATCAATTTCTTTAGTGAAGGGAATTTCAAGAAGCATTGAACTCAGGCTGTGGCATGGCTACTAGTCAGTTCTTATTCAGATCTACAGCAGAAGAGAGAGAGGGAGGAAGAACAAAACACTAAGAAAAAATGTGGACTTTTAAAAAAATTGTACAGACAACTTCATTAGAACAAAGAAGGGTACAGAAAACAAGACGTTGGTAATAATAAACAACCAACCTCATTCTCGTCACTGGGCCAACAGGAAAGGTACCTAAGGGTAAAACCCACCCATCCAATGCTTCAACCAGAGAGAATTCAAATTTATGTGACAGGAGATAGCTTGAATTAAGAACACTATAAAAGGCTCCCTGTTCAAAAATAAATCTCCAGGAAAATGATTTTGCAACTTAAGCCACCAAGACACACACAATACTATAGTTCTAGTCTAAGGCAGGGCTCAAGGATGGCTTTTTTCAAGCTGGCAGTAGACATAGTCAGCCTTTTCCACATAGAACTGGCATGGCATGCATGAAGGATATTAGAAGGAGGGTGTGACAGTCTTACTTCACTGACTCAGGGAGATGACAACATCAGTCATGGTTGTGTTCCTTGGAGGGAAGCAAAAGAAGCTATTCTCTGAAGTTGTGAAGAAATTGAAGTTGTAGTAGGGACCCCAGGATGTTAAAGATGCCAGGACCAGGGGACTTTCTATGAGAAAGGCTGCAGTTACGGGGTGGAGACAGACAAAGAAATATGCTATGAATACTTCCAGAAGCAGAGCTGGAGTGGAGGACTACCTAGAACTTTAGAGCCCAGGTGATGATATTATGAGTTAGATGCCTGACATTGAATACAGGATTTGATGTTTGAACATTGGTTATCATAGTAAAAGTAAATGTATAGATACGCTGTTGAAAATTCAATAAAGTTATTTTTAATGGAAGTTTGGCCATTAATTTCAAAGGAAAAACCAATGCTTTTTTATAAACTATTAGTGTGCATTTGCATGAGAAATATTTACATGGAATGAAATTAAATAAATAAAATGTAATACTACTAATATTTTATTTTAATCTTCATAACTATTGGATATATATAATATGAATGCTTTTGATGATTATATTTCAAATAACTTTTGACAAATACTACTTTTATTTATGCATAGGATTTTAAGAGAATTGAAATCACTCATTTGATTTATTTAAAATTGGAGGGTAGTAGCAGCCATCTTGTACATTCTTGGTTGGTTATAATATTTGTACCATGGATAGTAATATAAATTTGATATATTTCCATGCATGCTAGACACCTTCCTATAGTCAACAATGTGTGAGTATGTTTTCAATCATTCTAAGCTTCATTTGGTAATGAAACAGACAAGTCAGAAGTGATGGATATAGTTTCTCTTCTTTGTTAAAAACATGAAAATTTATCAATTGCTGATTGTCTGACTTCAAATGAGTTTGTAATCTGTATTATTGTGCATTAGAAGAGGTATTTCAAGGGCTATTGAGATGGCTCAGCAGTTAAGAGCACTTGGTCTACTTCTAGAGGAGCTGGATTCAATTCCCAGCATCTCATGGTGGCTCACAACCATCTGTAACTCCAGTTCAACCCAGGGTTCCATATCCTCTTCTGGCCTCCATGTGACTCTGGGAGCCCAGCTGGCAGACTGGCTCCCATGTTTTACAACAGGGAACTCTTGAGGAGAGATGGATAAGAAATACTAGATAGAAGGATAGAGGGGAGAGAAACAGATAGAAACAAAGAATAGCTTCAGGAGGGCCTGGATCATTATTCACCAGCCCCTTCTGTCTCTTCTACAGGGCTATTTATAGGAATGCCAAAGGGTAGAGCAAAAGACCCCCCCCCAGCACAGTCAAGTGTAAATGCTTCTAATCACCTGGTAACCACACATGTGGTCAAGCAATCCTCTAATGCAGCCCAGCTGGGTAAAGCAAGCTCAGCTATCATTAGGAAACCTTTGTGGGCCTCCACAACTGCCCCTTCTTAACATAATAAAGGGCCGTCCAGGCCCGTCAGATAGACTGTACCTATCTTAGGTCATTCTTCTTGATTGATTTTACATAAATGCATTCAGGAAGCAATCAAACAGAAAATTGCCCATCTTTGGCTATCAGTCTCTGGCAAGAGGAGGTACAGAGCCTAACTCAGCTCTGGTCCAGGTCCCTACTAAGAGCTTGCAAACATCCACCGTGATCTCCATAACTGCCACACCTCCCAGTAAAGGTGTAGAGGATAATAAAGATGGAATATCCTTTTTGGAATGCCTCTAAGATGACTACAGAAGTCATATTTGCACCAAGCCCTTTTCAAAACTCTCTCCTAACAGATGTTATTGTTATGTTATGAATTTCAAGAGACTATTTTGACTCCCAGGACAAAACATTCATTTCAAAACACATCAAAGTATCCACTCAATTAAACAATAACCCATGCTAATTATAAAGACACTTTTACAAACTAACTTGATTGTGAGAGGCTTATCCCTTTGCAGGAGGCCTACCCCTTTTTAAACAAACAGAAGGAGTGGAAACATCTAGGAAGAAGACAGAAAAACTCTCCTAATTATGACACCTTCACTCAAGTTTTCCAAGGGCCACTGAGATCATAAAAAAATATCTTGAGCTATCATAAAAAGTATTCAAATATATCTGAAGGTAAAAGAGTCATAAAAACTTCAACTGCCTTTAATTTTATTGATTTGGTTTTTCCTTTAAAATTAATGTTATCTAATTTGTCTAGACTAGACAGATATTAATAGAACAATAAAAACAATTCTAATATGAACATCACTATACACTTTTTACAAACTTACATTCAACATTTACACTTTCTACATTCAATTTTTACACTTTTTACATCCAGTATTTACACTTTTTACATTCTTATATTCAAGAGGAAACTTTATAGAACTATTTTACAAACTTATATAAAGGCAACTTTATAGAACTACTTTATAAACTTCAGCATATATCTAGAAGAATTTCTTTTTTTTTCTTTTTATATAGTTTAATGTATTTTAATAGCAAACTTACAGGAACAGCACAGAAGACAGACAACATTAAAAACATGTACTTGCATGTAGGATAACTCAGTTAGAAAAGTATAGTGAATGGATGGAATCTACTGTATGATAAAAATGCTACAAACACCATTTAGTTGCCGTCAATAAGAAATTTACTTATTTTAAAAAAATCCAAATGCTAGCATTGTCCAGAAAATTTTAACAGGTTTATTTATAATTGTTATAAAGTTGAACTGTTGAAATGTGTTCACTGAAACATTTTGCTTGCATTAATGCTTTACATCTTGCATTTATATTAAAAATTCACACACAAATGAAAATGGAAAAACTGCCAATACCTGATTTCTGTCCCCTATTTTTCCACTCGCAATCATATACTTAGGTACCTTTTGACCCCATGGAAAAAATATCTAACATTCAGAACTACTGATAACAGGAAGAAGAGGAAAAAAATTTTTGAGAATGAAATGTTTCCCCTCATAGTGGACTCTTAAGCACGTTCTCCGCGTATGCGGCGTGCTAGCTGGATATCTTTTGGCATAATTGTTACACATTTGGCATGGATAGCACACAGGTTGGTATCTTCAAAAAGGCCAACCAGATAGGCCTCACTTGCCTCCTGCAAAGCACCAATAGCTGCACTCTGGAAGCGCAGATCTGTTTTGAAGTCCTGAGCAATTTCTCGCACCAGACGCTGGAAGGGGAGCTTGCGAACCAGAAGTTCAGTGGACTTCTGATAACGTCTGATTTCACGGAGTGCCACAGTACCAGGCCTGTAACGATGAGGTTTCTTCACCCCTCCAGTAGAGGGCGCACTCTTGCGAGCGGTTTTAGTAGCCAGTTGTTTCCTGGGTGCTTTACCACCGGTGGATTTGCGGGCAGTCTGCTTTGTATGAGCCATGGTATGGGCACCTCCTTACTTACCCCCCTTCTCCTTCGGCTGGAGCTCTGCAAGCGAGAGGCGGCGCTGGCGTTAGGGAGCGGCGGCGGCGCGGCGACGGCTGCGAACACAATTCTAGAAGAATTTCTTAACAGAACTAACCTATTCAAAAGCAAACTCTATAGGACTACTTTACCAACTTTAGCAAGCATCTAGAAAAGATTTCTTAACTGCACTATTACCAAAAAAGGAAGTACACAAATCATTTTTAAAGTTTGGAGTTCATAGTCAGCTTTGATATCATTATGAAAGTTTTCCTGACAGTTTTCAGTCAGTGCCTAATTCATCAGTGCTCTAAACTTGACTGAGGGTAAAATTCCCTCTTCTTAATTTTTTAAAGCTGCTTTTTACGATTATCATGAGCGTTTCAGTGATGTCAATGTTTCTCTCTTGCATTTCAAACACAACCCAAGTTTATTATTTTTTATTTTTATTTGCCCATAAGTTTTTTTCTTTTTCCATACCCCAAGCAATTTCCCAGTGTATGGACCTCTTTCCCTAGTTTTCTAAAGGGTTTCAGAGTGACTTGATGACAAATAGTATTAGCATCTTAATTGCCTCCTGACAAGCAAGCTGTTTACTTGTTTCTAGTTATCGGAAGGGAGCCAACAAAGCTTATGGAAAAAAAAATAGCATTTTGAGCTGAATAAACACTGAAAAAGCAAAGTTTTGGGGCAGTGCAGTACCAATATCTCTTTTACAGAGTACATTTCCGAAGCTGCCTTTCTGAGTCTAGGAGGAAACTTCCCTTTACATGGTCTGTATTCAAGCTTTTGCTTTTACCATGGGAGGTTTTTCAGTCAAGATTTTGTTCTTTTATCACAGGAGATTTCTGTTCTCCCTGAGCTGGCATTGATAGGTACATTTCATTTTCCTGATATTTTTCCCAGAGCAGACCATGCCCACCCACACATGCTTATGGATCAGCGCTTGTTTCCCATCATACCAGGTCAGTGAAAGAAAATAAAGTCCTTGAAATAAAAGCATTTTTAGCCTTTTCAGGGAGTTTTTTTCCCTTGATAGATCTCCTTCTTGTCCCCACTTGTCCTTTCCTCCAAGATGTAGAGTCTCTGATGACTTAGCTAAGGCTCAGTTTCTCTGCTAACTGCTTTCTGTTCTGGGGGTAGGGTCTTGAGTCCTCAATCTAGGAACTTAGACCCTGCCTCCCTCATTGCAGGGAGGATTTCAAAGCCTCCATTGCTGCCTTCATGCCAGCAGCTCCTCCCCAGGTCCCTTACCACCTCTGCTGGAGCTCCACCCTGGGAGAAGCTGTTCCTGTTGGGATTTCTGCCTGCACTTTCTTGGGCATAGGCTCTTCCCGCAGAGAATTCTGGCTGCTGTTTTTCTAATACTGGCTTGAAAGAGAGACAGTACCAATAAAGAGTATTTGCCATATTCCAAGAGGGATTTTCTTGTTTGTTTGTTTTTTTCTGGGGCAAATATGGGTGATTTTATCATTCTGATAGATTTTTCCAGGTGAGTTTAATTTTGTCCTTACAGGAAGAAAAGAGATCTGAGAAGGGAAGACTTAAAAAAGCTTTCATTTTTTTAGAGAAAGATTACTAAGTTTTTCCTAAGAAAGCTTTCAGTTTTTGAGAGAAAGATTGCTGAGTTTTTCCCAAGATTTCTGTTCTCTAAACTTGGCTTTGTGGCCAAGGAAACTAATTCTGATGGTACGATGTTATCATATAGTAACAATGTTAGTGGAGTGAAGAGTTTTATTTCACTTGCATCCACCTCAGGGAAAATTCTTTCCTCTGCCACTCAAGACTTAAATTTAAGCTGTTCACAGGCCAAAAGCTTCCACAGGAATTTTTTTCTGCCCATTTTTCTCATCTTTGATAGTTTTTTTTTCTATGATTCTTCTCCAGGAGTTTGCATTCACAGTCTCATAGTTGGAAAATCAAGGACATAGTTCCTCTGTTTGGTTGCTTATCTTATCTAAGTTTTTTCTACACTATATTCCTATATTCTACCTTATATTTTTCCTTAATTTTTATAGACAGAAATTAAGAGAGAAAAAAAGAAAGAAGCCTAGATAGAGAGAAATATTTGCTACAGCTTCTCTTTTCAACTTCAGCATTCAGCTGCATTATTTCACTCCTGAGAACAAAATGCCATCATCTTTATTTTTAATTCCATATTGGGCATGCCCCCTTACAAATGCGATGCCCCCTTTCTCTTTTCACCAAGTCCCCTGTCTCTGTTCCTGGCACTATGTGTGGGAGCACACCTGGGAGATGGGCTCCCACATGTTACAGCCAGGAACTCTTGGGGAGAGAGGCATAAGTGATATTAGATAGAAGGATAGAGGGGAGAGAAACAGACAGAAACACAGGATAGCCTCAGAAGGGCCTGGATCATTATCCACTGGCCACTTTCTTCTATTCTAAAGGACTATTTACAGGAATGCCAAGGGATGGAGCAAAAGATCTCTCCCTAGCACAGCCAAATACAGATCCTTTCCAATCACCTGGTAACTACACACATGATCAAGCAATCCTCTAATGCAGCCCTGCTGGACAAAGCAAGCTCAGATCTCACTATGAAACCATTGTGGGCCTCTACATGTGACCAGGCACAGTGAGAACACTCTAGCCCATAGACTATAGATGAGTAAATTTTAAAAGAAGAGGGGAAAAAAAGGTATTTCCGAACAAAATGTTAGGATAAATTTTTTATGATCAGTAAATTTTCATAGATTAAGATATTTCATTGATTATTTAAGACAGGTAAAAAATAATAAGATTTAGTGAAAAAAATCTTACCACGCCAATGGAAAAGTAATTATTGATGATGCTGTAAGGCACAGGATCTCCTTTCTCATCTTTGTCGTTGGGTATGACTTCAAACTTCCATCTGTCCAGCATGATTTCTGTACTGCTTTCAATGTCTTTTAGGATTTTCATCAGATTTTCACCTTCATAGCCTAATAAAACATGTTATAGTGAGATAAAATATAAACAAATGACAAAGAGTTACACTTATATGTGTCTGTTTAATTATATGAATTATTCTGAAACCAACTAATATACTTTAATTTTAATGTAAATTAAGAATTGGCTATAATCTTATACTGGCACCAAGATTTTATGCATACTTTTTACTTGCAACAAATATTTCTTTTTTGTGGTATAAATCTTCTGTTTATCCAACTGCTAAACAACATTTCTACCGCATATTCTTTGACACTTGTGTATTAATATATTAAAATGTAATTAATTTTCAATTCTATACTTCCTAAGCATCCTTTCATAGAAAATACCAACTTCCACCTTATTGCTGAAATTGCAAACTTAGTTGCCATGTTAGATTTCCCATCAGTCCCTCCTCTTCCCATTTCCTTCTAGTGGCAAAGAGAAACTTTAAAGAATATAAGCTGCTCATTTTTGGCATATTTCATTCCATTTCATAATTTATCTACTTGCAGTGCACCTATGCATCGATGCTTTCTAGATAGCTTGCTTTTATTTTTTCACTATGGTTTCAACTCAGAGAACACTTCTTTTGGCAGCCACCTCCCAACATAAAACATTAGTTTACTTCTGTGGAAGACTCAACCCCTGTGCTCAAAACTGCCCTTCTCTTAGAATAGGTACACTGCATTTTACGTTTGTTTGTTGTTATCACTACAAGCCTCCCTTGCCAGACTGCCAAATCCCTACTTTAATGGATTAGCTATAGATGGTCAATGTGCAACCCCCTGTTGATTTGATACTACATTCTCTTGAATTTATCTGTGAGTGTATACCATCCAGTGAAGACTGATGACCAACGTGGGGAATGTTATTGTCCATGTTAATTGATGGCTTTACATCTAGTAGTAATTCATTGAAAAGATAAAAATATATTAAAATCTTAGCCAGATTTACTAAAAGAAAGGTTACAAATAATTAAAATTATGAAAATGGATGCATTACCAAAGGTGCCAGTGAAATATAGAAAATTCTATGACAATACCTTAAATAATTTTACTCCACTAAAATAGATTTTGTAAAGAAATGGATAAATTCCTTGATGTGTAAATGTACAAACAGTAAACCATGATGAAACAAATAATCTGAAGAGATCTATAAGTAGTAATGAGAGTGAAATAGTAATAAAAATTCTCCCCACAAATGCCAAAGTACAAGACCAGATGGGATCACCTGTAGAATCTTACCAGAACTTCAGAGAAGAAAAATAATTAGAAAACTACAGTTATTCCAAAGCACATAAAAGGAAGGAGGCAATCTACTTCTGAAATCTTACTTCCACATATGTGTAATGACATGCTTATGTGTGTGTACGTGTGTGTGTGTGTGTGTGTGTGTGTGTGTGTGTGTGTGTGTGTGTTTGCATGTGTATGTGTGTGTCCTGCCTCACACACATACATGATGGGGGAGTGACAGACAGACAGGCAGATGAACAAAGAGACATAAAGTGTTTTAATAAAATGAAAATAAATAAAATAATTGAGAATAAACCAATCCAATAAAAATGAATAAAAGCAGAGAGGAAGAATGCTAAAGGGGAAATGTTTAAGCAGTGAGGGATTATGGGAAAGAAGGGAGAAACCTGGAGACTGGGAGGAGAATTAACCAAAATGAAGGTGTATGAAGAAGCCATACAGAAATATACTATTTTACAATTTCATTTAAAAAATACAAAATTGGAGGAGACAGTCAAATACATGTTACAGGAAAGAGGAGAGGCTTGCAAGCACAATAGGGATTTATGTAGGGATGGATACAAAGTAGACAGTGAGGAGAAGACAGAGATTACATTATGCAAAGCTAAGGATATATTAAAGAAAAATGGAAATTTACTGGTTTGTGTGTTAATTAAAATATCTTTTAGTAAAATAATATGAGCTTGAATGGGAATCCCCTGAATTGGTGGACAATGCTACTCCCAAAACACATGACTCATAATATGAAAATTTAATAAGGAGTGGGATACCTCCTTGCAGTTATTGTTCAGGGAAGCCTCAGAAGTTCCCAACACAGCACACACTATTGATAATTGTTTTCAGTTGCTCACTATAACTAATAAACTGATGGTAAGAACATATTGTTAAAAACAACACATTTCTGGATTACTAGACATAGAGAAATTAATCTTGAACCAAAACAGTAATATCATATGTTCTGGATCACTGCCAGTAAGGTAGATGGAGGGAGGAAAGCCATAAACGATCTGATCAGCACTGGGCCCTACATGTTATAATACTGACCTGCCTGGCAAAATGTATTCACTGACACAGAATCAGAACTGTTAAGGGGTTAATCAATTGCTTTCTGGTTAGATTTGAGGCTTTCTTTGTAGGAGGGAATTTATGCCTACTATGGTAAACACAACAGAGGTCCATAACTGGGAAGGTCATAGCCCAGGAAACTTATTACTTTTTTTTGGCTAAACAGACATGTCAAAATGTCTTCTAAATATTTACACTTATACTCATAGGTTAGTGCTAATTTCACCTTGAGAACAAAGTTTCCTTTTTTTGTAGTTGGCTGTAGTTAATGCAGAGACACATGCCTGGTCAGAGCACTGAGAAGTGACTATGAGTGCTAACTGGAATATTTATATCAACTCTCCCCTCCCTTGCAGTACAGAAAATATCACAAGAGAGGGGATAAAAAGAACTCAAAAGCAGGACAGAACAGTGATGTAAAACACTGTCTTCAGGACATGCTACAGCTGCTGCACTCATGAACCTCCAGCAGCTGTAGTCACCTGCAGAGGATCAAGCCATTAAGCCTTCCATCTTGGATGGGGAAATAGGTCAGGAGGGAACTTTTGTCAACTGATGGCAGCTGTTGCAGAGATAGTCATTTTCTTTGGGGGTATATGTTACTAATGCTCTAGTGGATGGTGTACACTTATACACAGACTAGCAGGAATAATTGATTCAATGGGCCACACAAAATATATAAAGGTGAATGGGGACATTGTTGGGGATGGTCTTCAGGAAGCATTGAAAGGGGGTAGTGTGGGTGGATATGATCAAAATACATGTATTAAATTCTCAAAGAGCAAATAAAACTATTTAAAAATAAAATAATGCTTCTAAGTAAGCTGTATCTCTCTCTTTCTCTAGTACAGCCATATGCACACATACATGTACAGTTATATATTCCAAAAATTATAGCCCAAGTTGTAACACTTTAGTTTCTATCTCCAACTTTTGGCCTCTAACTTAATAGTTTGTTTGTTGAACAAATAACTGCCAGCAGCTGGGAGTAGTCATTGCATCTAATAGCATATATATTACTGGTAGAAATCACTTGGTTAAAAGAAAAAGGAAGAGGTATCCTCAAATACAACATTCTCTAAAGGAGACAACATTACATTTAAGATAGACTTGTTCAAACAGCAACACTAGAAATTCCACTGTTGGAGCTTACTATAACTTTCATGCTAGATTTTAAAACTAAGCACTATTAAATAGATAAAACAAAGATTAGAATAAATAATTACACTAATAATTATAATAAATAATTACACTAATACATCAAATCATAGAATAGTTTAAACTAAAATATATGGAAACATTATGTTAAAATGGCTGCAAATTAATATATCTCACTTATGTTATGTAAATAGTTAATAATGTTATATAGATGAGGTACTTTATTTCAAATTTTAAGAAAAATAATTACTATGATTGTAGGGTACTCCAAATACACAGTGAACAAAGGAACTGGATAATTTCAAATGGGCTATCATCTCATCGAGGGACTCTCCTGATTCTTCTGAGGAGCGTGACATTCGAAGTTCTTGACCAACATGCTCAGTGTTGCACAAGTGGTGAGAAACCTGCACCTGCACGTGCTCGTCTTCATAATGAACCCTAACCAACAGGTGTCCCATTTCCCAGATGGCTCCACTGGGGAGTGGTGGGTCCTTGATTTTCCTGGAAGCCCTTTCTAGTCTTCTGGCAGGTTCAGTAATTTTGAGGGTGAAACTACATCCAGCTTCTTCACTTAGGGGATATCACTAAACAATGCAGTCCAGGCTCCCACCTCTAATATTAACACCTAAGTAATGAGTAATTTGATGATCCCTCCAGGCTTCCTTTACTCATTGCAATACTAGAAACTATGTGTCCTTCCTCACCATTTAACACATAATGAAATGCAACCTCCTTAGGAGGGCTTTATTGACCATCTAGCTAATGCTAGTTCTTTTCTGCAATTCACTCTTCTGTAGCTCTGAGCTTTGCTGAATCTATGTTATTTTCCCCAGATTTATAGTTCATGTTACTTAATGAAGATTTAGTTTCTAAAAGGATAAGAGCCACATATTTATTTCCCCTCTACTGGGCCAGAACACAGTAAGCTCTTTGAGAATTCATCTTTAATCTGATTTTACACATGTTGTAACCTTTTCATCCACCAATAATATTTATGTGGTGTTGTATGAATTAATCTGTATAAATGTGGAATTCTTTATTCAATTTGAGGTTTAATTCACTTGATAACTAGAAAACAAAAGATAATGGACTAAATTTTCAAAGATGAATTTTTTAAAAGATCAAATATATGTCCCAAAAGACTACAATAAGACACACTGATAATTCCCTCTCTTCAACTAATACACATATCTGAAAATCAGTGAACAAAAACATCCTGTAATGGTTATTTCTTTACCTCTCCCAGTTTCATGGTATCTAACTAAATACTAATAATATCATTGTACTATGACACCCTTTAGAAAATCCAAATAGAATATAGGCTAAGTATTTTA